TTATGATCATGATCATCATAATGATCATCATAGTTGATATGGTAAGCATAATTTAATAGGAATAATATGCTCATTATGATCAAGATCATCATAATGATCATCTTGGTTTCCATGGCAACCATCATTAAATATTAATACGCTATTTATGATAATGATCATCATAATGATCATCATGGTTGCCATGGAAACCATCATTTATTATAATTAATATGCTAAATTTGATCAAAATTATCATAATGAGCATCATTGTTGCCATGGCAACCATGATGCTTATTATGACGATTTTGATCATAATTAGCATATTAATCATAATAAATTATGGTTACAATGGCAACCATGATGATCATTATGATAATTTTGATCATAATTAGCACATTAATCATAATAAATTATGGTTGCTATGGCAACTATGATGATCATTATGATGATCTTGATCATAATTAGCATATTAATTATAATAAATAATGGTTGCCATCGCAACCATGATGATCATTATGATGATTTTGACCATAATTAGCATATTAATCATAATAAATTATGGTTGCCATGGCAAATATGATGATCATTATGATAATCTTGATCATAATTAGCATATTAATCAGAATAAATAATGGTTGCCATGGCAACCATGATGATCATCATGTTGATTTTGATCATAATTAGCATATTAATCATAATAAATTATGGTTGCCATGGCAACCATGATGATCATTATGATGATTTTGATCATTATTGGCATATTAATCATAATAAATGATGGTTGCCATGGCAACCATGATGCTCATTATGATAATTTTGATCATAATTAGCATATTAATCATAATAAATGATGGTTGCTATGGCAACTTTGATGATCATTATGATGATCTTGATCATAATTAGCATTTTAATCATAATAAATGATGGTTGCCATTGCAACCATGATGATTAATATGATGATTTTGACCATAATTAGCATATTAATCATAATAAATGATGGTTGCCATTGCAACTATGATGATCATTATGATGATCTTGATCATAATTACCATATTCATCATAATAAATGATGGTTGCTATGGCAACAATGATGCTCATTATGATGATTTTGATCATAATTAGCATATTAATCATAATAAATTAGTGTTGCCATTGCAACAATGATGATCATCGTAATTATCGCTACTCTGGTTTTAGTAAATGAAAGTAATCACCACACAATGATTAACTTTCACGACCCAACGTTTCGACACTCCGGTCTAGTGTCTTCATCAGGGGTGATCTGATGTTGAAACTCGGTTCCTTATATACTCTCAAAATGACGTCATCTATTAATCAGATGTAAATACTCTTGTGGCAAATAGCTTCTGTCATCCCTATTAAAGGAACAAAGACTCGCATTAATATGCCAGGCTTCCAAACAACGCCTTTGTCCATAACGATCATTAGTGGTAATGACTTTTGAATCGTTCCACCCAATGTTATTGTTAGTTTGACACACGTGTTCCGCCAAGGCTGATTTTGAACTGTTTAAGTTCGATACGGCCTTTTGATGTTCTTTTAAACGTGTGCCGAACTGGCGTTTTGTTTGACCTAGATATTCTTTCTCGCAATCACCACGTGGTATAGAGTATACAGCATGAGTTTTCTGTTTAGTCGCTACGCGATCCTTGGGTTTCGCGAAAATATGTCCCAATGTCTGAAAGGGTTTTAAGGCAACTCTTATACCACAATTATTCAGGATCCTCCTGATTGGTTCTGCAATTCCCTGAATGTATGGAACTATAGCAAAACCTGTTTTTGAGGAATCACCCTCTGAGGAATTGCATCTAGTCGAGACAGGGGATTTAGACAATCATTTAAAAAGTTTCGAGGATAATTGTTCTCTCTCAGTACACTGAGGACAGAATCACGCTCGTTGTCCCTAGCAACGCGATTGGATGGTAACGATTCAGCTCTTTGAAACAAAGTTTTTGCAACAGACTTTTTGGATGGTGTGAGTAGAAGGATAGATATTTGTCCGTATGTGTAGGTTTACGGTAAACGTCAGTTTCTAACTGCCCTTCGATATTTCTATGAACATAAGTATCCAAGAAAGCCAACTTTCCCTCACTCTCAAGCTCTACAGTGAATTGAATTGATGGCTCAATAGAATTCAAATGTTTCAACAAATTATCGATCTCATTTTTGTTAACCGCAGAGGCCACATCGTCAACATATCGTTTTCGAAGGCAACTATTACCAGCAAGTTTTTGGGACAGCGATGGGATCCCCGGTCTCGGCAGTAATTGCTAACCTAGTAATGGAAGATGTCGAGCAAAGAGCTTTAGCCTCTAGTCCGGTCAAACCTTTGTTTTGGAAACGATATGTTGACGATGTGGCCTCTGCGGTTAACAAAAATGAGATCGATAATTTGTTGAAACATTTGAATTCTATTGAGCCATCAATTCAATTCACTGTAGAGCGCGAGAGTGAGGGAAAGTTGGCTTTCTTGGATACTTATGTTCATAGAAATATCGAAGGGCAGTTAGAAACTGACGTTTACCGTAAACCTACACATACGGACAAATATCTATCCTTCTACTCACACCATCCAAAAAGTCTGTTGCAAAAAACTTTGTTTCAAAGAGCTGAATCGTTACCATCCAATCGCGTTGCTAGGGACAACGAGCGTGATTATGTCCTCAGTGTACTGAGAGAGAACAATTATCCTCGAAACTTTTTAAATGATTGTCTAAAATCCCTTGTCTCGACTAGATGCAATTCCTCAGAGGGTGAGTCCTCAAAAACAGGTTTTGCTATAGTTCCATACATTCAGGGAATTGCAGAACCAATCAGGAGGATCCTGAATAATTGTGGTATAAGAGTTGCCTTAAAACCCTTTCAGACATTGGGACATATTTTCGCGAAACCCAAGGATCGCGTAGCGACTAAACAGAAAACTCATGCTGTATACTCTATACCACGTGGTGATTGCGAGAAAGAATATCTAGGTCAAACAAAACGCCAGTTCGGCACACGTTTAAAAGAACATCAAAAGGCCGTATCGAACTTAAACAGTTCAAAATCAGCCTTGGCGGAACACGTGTGTCAAACTAACAATAACATTGGGTGGAACGATTCAAAAGTCATTACCACTAATGATCGTTATGGACAAAAGCGTTGTTTGGAAGCCTGGCATATTAATGCGAGTCTTTGTGCCCTTAATAGGGATGACGGAAGCTATTTGCCAAAAGAGTATTTACATCTGATTAATAGATGACGTCATTTTGAGAGTATATAAGGAACTGAGTTTCAACATCAGATCACCCCTGATGAAGACACTAGACCGGAGTGTCAAAACGTTTGGTCGTGAAAGTTAATCTTTGTGTGGTGATTACTTTCATTTACTAAAACCAGAGTAGCGATAATTACGATGGATTATATACCTGGTTGCCGTGAACTCATAAATGATGATCATAATGATGATTTTGATCATAATTAGCATATTCATCATATCAAATGATAGTTGCCATGGCAAAAATATTGATCATTATGATGATCTTGATCATAATTAGGATATTAATCATACTAAATTATGGTTGCCATGGCAACCATGATGCTCATTATGATGATTTTGATCATAATTAGCTTATTAATCATAATAAATTATGGTTACCATAGCAACCATGATGATCATTATGATGATCGTTATCATAATTAGCATATTAATCATAATAAATGATAGTTGCCATGGCAACCATAATGATCATTATGATGATTTTGAGCATAATTTGCAAATTAAACGTAATAAATTATGGTTGCCATGGCAACTATGATTATCATTATGATGATCTTTATCATAATTAGCATATTAATCGTAATAAGTGATGGTTGCCATAGCAACCATGATGCTTATTGTTTTGCAGGTATTGGCGGTTTTATCCGGAGCCAGAACAACTTCGGCTAACCAGGAGCGTTTACTTGTACTATACAATTTTGTGATGTTTATTATACACATATACACCTATTGTCAAACTAGATAGAAAATAAATTAAATATATGTATCAAAATTGTTATAGATACAAGAAATGGAGCTTGAAATACAAATATAATATACACGTTAAAATATAACTTACTTTATATTTACTCCTAGTTCCTTCGATGAAGTTCATTTGAATCTAACTTGGCGTGGTTGTTTTTTGGTTTATATTGGCGTAATTTACATAATTCAACAATACATGCATAATTTCTATAAGTCATTATTATTGTAATCTTGGGCAAAACACCCCCCTCCAGTTAGGAGGTAATGACTAACTTTTTTTTGTTGATTTCTTCTAAAATATTTTTTAGTAAATTTTATTGTCTAACTATAAGCTTAATTTATCATTGTATTTCTTATTTCGTGGCAATTAAACAAAGTTTATGAATTGGACGTTCATAACATCCTTTTGCCGTTTTAATTTGGACTTTTCTTACCAAGTTGGCTTTTCTAGAATAAGTATTAATAACGATTGCCATTTTCCATTGCATTCTTGGTGTTGAATCAAGTTCCAAAACCAAATCTCCGGACTTCAACTTTTCTCTTCCATGAAACCATTTATTTCTTGGCAATAAATTTTGCGCAAAATACTTCATCCAGGCTTTCCAAATTCGTGAATCTTCTTTTGACAAACGCGTAGTAGATTCCTTGGATTGACTTGGCTTTCTTCTTCTGGGATTGGTGGTGAATTATGTTGGCCAATAATAAGGTCATTGGGTGTAATTGGAGGATCATTAAATATATCTTCCGAGCTTGGGTATAACGGTTGACGATTGACCAGGTAAGTAATTTCCTTTAGGATGGTATTCCATTGCTCTTCAGTATGTGCTTGATTTTTACATGTCGCATTCATTGCATGAAGTATTCATTTGATCAGGCTTTCTACCACTCCATTTTGATGACTTGCTTTTGGGATGTTAAATTCCCATCTAAAATCACAACTAAATTCTTCTGCGAGAACCTTTTAGATTTTGGAAGTATCCCAATTGACGTAACTTCTTTAAGGTGAGCTTGGGAACGAATTTGTACCACGGTCAGACCAACAGACATTAGGATGTCCATGATTACAGGCAAATCTTCTAAATGCCATTAGAAATGTTTCAGTGCTTCTATCCGTCACAAGTTCCAAGTGTATGGCTCTCATTGTCATACACGTGAAAATTATTACTTGCGCTTCTTTACGTGTTTTACGATTCATCCTAATCTGAATTGGACCGAACATATCCATGGCTGTATTTGTAAACGCGGGTAATCCCATAGCTAAGCGAAGACTTGGGAGTTGTCCCTCTATCTGTTCCAGTGGATTGCTTCGTAATTTCTTGCACGTGATACATTTGTTCGTGAGTTTCTTTGCGGCATTCCGTATTCCAATTATCCAATACTTCTTTCGTGCTTCGTGTACAAGGCTTTTATATCCACAATGACATTTTTGTTCGTGTAAATGGCGTAATAGCAGAACAACTAGAGGATGATCGCGTGGAAGGACAATTGGTTTGCACATTTCTTGGGGAAGTGATCGAATATTCTCTAAACTCCCATGTGCACGCAATAAGCCTTCTTCATCGAACTTCGGCTTTAATTTTTGGATAGGGAATTTTCTAAAATCCACTTCTTGTTGACACCACTTAAACAACAGATTTTCTGCTACTTTCAGTTCATTCCAAGAAATAGGATTTGTTTCTTTGACTTTGTTTCGCAAAATGCGAATAAATCGGAGAACGTAGGCCATCGTTCTTCGTATTTTAGAAAATGATGAACAATTATCTAGTAATCGTTTGAATAAAACTTCGTTTAGGACTTCAACGGTATTACAACTTTCACTCGTTGTTTCTTCACTTTCTCTCAGTTCGCTCTTGAATTTACTCTTATATTCAGCGTCCGTTTCTTCGTTGCTTTCGCTTGGGTCTTGCCTTGAATTATCAATTACCTCGGAACTAATTAAGAATTGTGGACCAGTTATCCAATTATTCAATTCGTGTATGGAAATGCCTTTACTAAGAACGTCTGCAGGATTGTCTTTCGATTTAACATATCTGAAATTTCCCACATTTACACTTTCTTGAATTTCAGCCACTCTTACTGATACAAACGGTTTGAATTTCCTTGCCGGTGTCTTGATCCAAGACAGGACGGTTTGTGAATCAGTCCAGAGTACATAATTCCAATCTTTTCCATTAGCGAATTTCAACGCTTGAACACATGCTGTGTAAATACGGGTTAGAACTTGACATCCAAGTAATTCTAATCTTGGAATAGACTTTTTTCGAAGCGGAGCCACGAATGCCTTGACCATAATGGGAATAAAACTGTAACTACCGTCTTCACATTTCCATCTAAGGAAAATTACTGCTCGATACGCTAATTCTCATGCGTCGCAGAATCCGTGTATTTCGGGCTTGTCGACTGCATTATCTGGCTTGAGCTTTCGATTAAATTGTATATTAGGGGTTTCGTTCAATACTTGGAATTGTGGATCCATTTATTTTGAACAGCATCTGGTAGGTCTTCATCCCACGAAAAGCCTGATGCCCATAGATCTTGGAGATCCACTCTAAACTTTATGATCACAGGCAAGACCAGTCCGAGAGGATCCCAAAGTTGCGATACAAGGGATAGACATCTTCGTTTAGTGAATGTTTTTTCTGGTCTAATATCGAGCTCTTTCTTGAATGTGAATACATCAATTTCTTTATTCCACTTATGTCCGAGGAAGGTAGTGCATTTTTGCTTTGACTTGTCAACTTCCTTGTGATTAGAAGTCCACGATTTGACCTGGAAATTCCCCGTGTTTAGGATGGTGTCGATATCCGTAATAATGTTTTGGGTTTTTTCAGGAGTCGGGGCTGAGCCACCGATATCATCAACATAAACGTTGTCTTGCAGTTGTCTGGAGGCTTCGGATAAATCTTCTTGGCAGGCTTTAGCTAATACCTTAATAGATCCTGTAGCAATGTCCGGTGCTGGTTTGTCTCCAAAATTTAACCGTAGTAATTGAAAAATCTTAGGATCTTCGTCTTCATTTCGTCGAAAAAAGAATTGGTGGTATATCTGGTCTTCGCGATGTATCCTAATTTGATTAAACATCTTACGTAAGTCGCCGCAGTATCCAACATGGTCCCATCTCCACGCTATCAAGACATCTTGAATATTATTAATATAGTTTGGACCTTTTTCTAGATAATCGTTTAGGGATTTGTTGTCTGGACCTTTTGCGGAAGCGTCGAAAACTAAACGTATCTTAGTTGAACGTTCCGGTGTAAATACTGCCTGCATCGGGAGGTACCATTCAGTTTTGCTGTGGTCGACTTGATCAATCGGCACTTCAACGACGAAGGCTTGTTCTGCTAACTTCTGTACTTCTGTTTCGATTTCTCTGAAGCACTTTTTTTTTTAAATGTTTTCACGGATGAAAGCATTCTTCGATAGGCGATGTTGTAGTTGCTTTGACGTGGTGGTCCACTTTCTTTCCATGGCATCTTGACTTCAACTCGTCCATCGATTATCTTCGTTGAGTCTGCCAGGGACTTGATGAACTTATTCTCTTTCAACATTTCGTCCGTACATGTACACATTCTGGTAGGTTTTACACCAAGTAGATCCTGCGTAAGCAACTTCTTTATATCTTCTTCTGCACTTATGGTACCAACTTCGACTGAAACCGTTCTTGACACGTTGTCATTGTTTTCGCTGTCGACGACACCGAGAACATACCAACCAAAGCAATTTCGTTTAGCGATTGGTCCGCCCAGCTCACTTTGTTTAATATGAACGTCAAAAAAGGCTGCCGGGAAATCTGTACCAATTAGTAAATCGATCAATCCACCATTGAGGTGTAATTTATCAACGATACTCTCTAGATGAGGATAATTTTTTACCGCAGTTTTTGATATGGTCTTTGCGGCACTACAGGGTTTCTGAACGGTAAGAACATGCAAAGTTTTTATTATTTGATTATCATTAATCGGTGCCACAGATATTTCGATTTGTCGTGACTTTTCAGACTTTTGTTTACCTCTAGCTAAGTTCATAGTCATGTGAAGTTCGGGTCCTTCTAAACCAAGTTGTTTTACTGTAGCTTTCGACATCAAACTTACGTTAGATCCACTATCTATCATTGCCAAAATCTCAACAAATTCTCCATCTTTATTTCTTACTCTAATTTTTTGTACCGGACATATTCCTTTTATTTTGTTGTTCTCTTGAACATTGCCATTTTGTGTCTCTAGTGTAGATTTTGGTGACCTTTCTATATTAATTTTAGATGTCAATGGATTAAACTGTTGATTTAACTTCACGAATTCGGGATTTCTTCGATAATTGTGCAATGAATAATGATGAGGTTTAGTACATTGTTTGCATGTTGTTCCGTCTGCTTTTTTACACGTATTTGTGTGATGGGTCATTAAGCATTTTCGACAGCGATTATTCTACTTAACAACTTACCATCGTTCATCAACGCTTAAATTTTGATAAACAGGACATTCCGAGAGGTAATGGTAGCTTTGACAATTTAATGGGCATGACTCCTCTTCAGTCTTTTTAGTTTTCGCATTGTTACTATTTTCGGAGTTATTTTTATGAGCACTTTCAATTTTCTTATTATAGGAACTGTTAACAGCGTTAATTTTTGTTGGTTTATGACTAATAGATTGATTACCACTATCATTAGCAATAAACCGCTTTCCTCTCGATCTTAAATTTGCTTCTCTATATAACCATTCAATAAGATTTGTTATATTTTCTTCTTTGTCTTCCCGAATCATATCACGACCGAAGTCAGCGTTATCTTTTGACTCTAATTTGGACAGAAATTGTGACATAATAAATGGAGCTTCGTTTGAATCTGATACCGTGCATCCGTTTTCTTCCATGTCATTTGCAAAGCTCATAAATTTAACGTGAAAGTGAGGCTGAATCGCATTTTACTTGCTTATAGGAAATTATTTCGTTTAATAAATCATCTATAAGTTTTCTTTTGTCTGCAAATTCTTTATCCAGAATTTCAAATGCTTTTTCTACCGATTTGCAATATTTTACTTGGTCGGTCCAAAAAAAATATTTTGGTAAAGCTTTGCGAAATCTCTGTAATTGCTCTTCTTCGTCTTGTCTACATTTTTCCATCCAATGTTTAAATTCATGTTTCCATGTCAAATAAGATTTTCGTTTGCCGTCCCATACCGGGACTGAGAGTTTTTCTAAAGAATTTTTTTTATCGATTTTTGTTGAAGTAAGCGCCTCTGCCATTTTGGTTACAGCGAATGTCAAAGTCTCAATACTGTCTGACCACAGTTATTAGAATATACATGGTTTGGAGCCTAGATGGAAGTACAATACAAGTCATTATGTATGTTATTGTCCAAGTTTATGCAAAAAATGGTTCCTTATCCGTCACATGTCTATTTTATTTTAGCCCAACCAACCAATAGCAATGGCTTCGCTTAGCTCTTCAACCGCGACTTGAACAACATGTTAATTCAGACCTTACTATTGGTTCATTTGTTCAAAATAAAAATAGACACGTGAGAAATAAGGAACAACTTTTTGCATAAATGTTCCCCGAAATAGATAATGAGTTGTATTGTACTTTTATGTAGTTTCCAAACCATGTATATTCTATTAACTGTGGTTTGACTTATATGCTGACTTATTTAAAGAGCACCTCTTTTGATATTCAGCGAAACTTTTAGTACAATTTAAATAGTTAGTCTTTATTTGAGAACCAATTTTCTTATTACTTTCGAGTATATTTTCCGCTTCACCGGAATCGCTAACTTTGCCTTCTACTATTTTATCAATAATTACTTCTTGTTGTTGTCTCACGAGTCTATATTTCGTTTCAATTCGTTTGTACACATTTTCTAACGTTGAAAATTCCGCTTCCACTTTGTAAAGTACTTGAAATTCTTCAAATAATTGAAATAGGGAATTAACCATATTGTCCCGCTTTGCTGATAACAACGACACGTCTATCTTAGGCGGCATTTCTTTACTTAATCCGTTAATATCCTTGTTTATCGTTTATGTAAATTGTGTGATTGAATGCTTGTAAGTGAAATGTGTAATTATGCATTCCTTCAAATTGTTAGAACTTTACTTGGTTCACCATACTTTTGATCTTCTACAGTACTTTTGTACGTATATTAATAAACCGATTTTCTCCTACCTTCATTAATAGTTCCTCAGTATGTAGGAAAAATGTTTTCGATATTACTGCTAGGAGACGGCTTTCAATCAGTCCAGATAATCTTTACGTCTGAGGCTGTGTTCCAGATATAGTTTATCTTACGATTTCGTGAGCTTGACTCTCTAGCAGTATTCCGTTCTTCTTCTTTTGTTTCCGTACTTCCTTACTTCAGATTACTTCTCCAGATATAAATTTGACGGTTTTGCGCGTATTGGCGGTTTTATCCGGAGCCAGAACAACTTCGGCTAACCAGGAGCGTTTACTTGTACTATACGATTTCGTGATGTTTATTATACACATATACACATATAGTCAAACTAAATAGTAAATAAATTACATAAAAGTATCAAAATTGTTATAGATACAAGAAATTGAGATTGAAATACAAATATAATATACACGTTAAAATATAACTTACTTTATAGTTACTTTTAGTTCCTTTGATGAAGTTCATTTGAATCTAACTAGGCGTGGTTGTTTTTTGGTTTATATGGGCGTAATTTTTATAATTCAACAATACATGCATAATTTCTATAAGTCATTATTATTGTAATCTTGGGGAAACACTCATTAGAATGATCTTGATCATAATTAGCATATTAGTCATCATAAATTGTGGTTGCCATGGCAACCATGATGCTCATTATGATGATCTTGATCATAATTAGCATATTAATCATAATAAATGATGGCTACCATGGCAACCATGATGATCATTATGATGATCTTGATAATAATTAGCATATTAATCTTAAAAAATGATGGTTGCCATAGCAACTATGATGATCATTATGATGATCTTGATCATAATTAGCATATTAATCATAATAAATGATAATTGCTATCACAACCATGATGATCATTATGATGATTTTGATTATAATTAGCATATTAATCATAATAAATTATTGTTGCTATGGCAACCATGATGATGATTATGATGATTTTGATCATAATTAGCATATTAATCATAATATATGATGGTTGCAATGGCAACTGTGATGATCATTATGATGATCTTGATCATAATTACCATATTAATCATAATAAATGATGGTTGCCATGGCAACCATGATGCTCATTATGATGATTTTGATAATAATTAGCAT